TTACTGTATAAACTAACAGTACCCTGCCAGGCATGGAGACTTCAATGCGATTTCAGTACTAATCCAACATTATTGTATAAACTAACAGTCCCCTGCCAGGCATGGTGACTTCAATGAAAAGCAAGCCTCTCATGTTTTGAAATAAAGCCTTCGTTTCTGACGTCATCATCCCTAATGTGGCGCGAGGCGCGCTAAATGCGGATCCCAGGAGGTTCACACATAAGTGTGAACTCTTAATCAGGCTTAATACCTCACCTATACTCCATGCTTCATCAGAGTTGATATTCAGCTACAATAGCTCGTATTTTCGCTCATTACTTATATTTTCTGTTATTCATAAACCCGATCAAACCTTCCTAACCTAACCTAACCTAACCTAACATATTATTTATAACAAACAAATACATTCTACAGAACAGTTATTGTTGTTGTTTTAGTGACATCGTGAAAAGCGACCTCAGGTATAGGGACAATGTATTGATGGTCATTAGCATATAGGTGTGAAGGTATTACTTCACCTTACTGGTCAACTATGTATGACGTCACCAGACAACCAATGCGGCCTTTGGCGTCCTACTAGCATGTGTATTTGATGTTATTATTCAAAAATGACTAGACTATCCATCCCCACCTAACCTAATCAGAGGTTTAAGAACATACATTTTAGTCATCCACAACTGTAATCATTATTCAGTGATAAGTTGTATTACAGTACCTTACTGGTCAACTATGTATGACGTCACCAGACAACCAATGCGCCCTTTGGCGTCCTACTAGCATGTGTATTTGATGTCATTATTCAAAAATAACTAGACTATCCATCCCCACCTAACCTAATCAGAGGTTTAAGAACATACATTTTAGTCATCCACAACTGTAATCATTATTCAGTGATAAGTTCATAACTCAAATAGTCACCCAAATGTCGTACTGCAATTTATGAAGAATTGTATGTTTTACCGCAGAGTAGGTAAGTTATCCTAATATCCATCCTCATCCGGGGCTGGAAAATAAAAAAATTTCTTACATTTTTATTATTTATCCATAGAAAAACATAGTTTGCATTCTAGTGATATGACAAAATATGCATTTTACCTTAGAAAGAGCAATAAACCAGATGCTGATTGCAACAATTGCCCAAGTGTAGCTGCAGCTGTTTCATTGCAGGGGGAGAGCAACATTTCAGTTCCTCAGGCATTTTCATAAACGAGGTAATTCCTCACAGTATCGGCAATTATTCAGTGCTGTATATAATTTATGCGCTTCATACTACACAAAACTGTTTTCACGTACATCTGGCAAGTTAGTGCAGTGAAAAACAAAAATGCTTTTAGAGATGTATATCCTAACCTATCCTATCCTAACCTAACCTATCCTAACCTATCCTAACCTATCCTAACCTAACCTAACCTATCCTAACCTATCCTAACCTAACCTAGTCTAGCTGACTAGTGCAAACACATTCTATCCTCCAATCCAAACCTAACCTATCCTAACCTAACCTAACCTAACCTATCCTAACCTAACCTAGTCTATCTAACTTGTGCTATCACATTCTATCCTCCAAACCAAACCTAACCTATCCTAACCCAACCTAACCTATCCTAACCCAACCTAACCTATCCTAACCTATCCTAACCTAACCTATCCTATCCTATCCTAACCTAACCTAGTCTAGCTGACTAGTGCTATCACATTCTATCCTCCAATCGAAACTTAACCTATCCTACACCATCCAGCACTGCCATATCCCATCCTACAATCCAAACTATACCTATCCTATCCTAACCTAACTTAACTGTCTGGCATTACCACATCCTATCCTCCAATCAGAACCTATCCTATCCTCCAATCGAAACTGAACCTAACTTAACCTAAACTGGCCCAAGACCAGCTAGTTCTTATATATCTAGTCCTATCCTCCAATCCGAACCTATCCTATCCTCCAATCAAAACTGCACCTAACTGGCCCAAGACCAGCTAGTTCTTATATATCTAGTCCTAACCTACAATCCTGGCGTATTCTATAACCACACCTATCCTATCCTATGCCAATCCTACCCTATCACAGGCATGCTTGTCCTTCTTTTAATTATATCAAGGATTGTATATTGCGCATTTTATCATTTAAAAAAAAAAATTACAGTTGCTCAGGTAAAAAAAACACATATAGATCATTTTATATTATTTTATTGTAATAATATTTCACATCATACATAACTTTACATATTTGGAATACGCGCATAAAAGGGGAATATGCAATTTATTTATTTCATTTTTGTTTTCTGCATGATGGCCATAGAGCTTTGATTGCACGATAGGATTGCTTATTTAAATCTCATCTCAGGGGCGTTTATATAGATTATGGGTTCTCTAATTTTCTTCTTTTTCTTCTTCCCCTAGCTGGTAGATCGGCCACATCTCGTTCAGGTAGACGTTGTTCCCTTGTGCGCACCAAGACAAAGACCTTTTTCTGTTTTCTCAATACATATACTAAATGTGCTAATGCAGGATAGTATGCATTTATCCACTCTTCTTCTTGTTCTTTACTCCATCCTATGCCACAATCGATACCTGCCCCATATGGCATTATTACTCGTTTAATCGCATTATTACGTTTCGTCAAGCTTATAAGTCTATGAATGGCTAATTTAAATGCCCATCTTCTGCCGATGATAGTATCCTTCTTGAATCCCGACACTAAATCTTCATCTTTACTGTGATTCATGAGCAATTGCTTTGTATTGTTATTATTATTATTATTATCATTACTCGCATCGTCAATAGGTAAACCTGCAGCATATTGACAAATAACTGCTATAAGATGAGGTTGTACTTCTGGATCAGGGGATAAAGCAACTATTATATCCCCTGGTTTATTACGATCTTTAAGAACCGCACAATGTGTTTCAGGACATATTTCCTTCTGCAAACTGCAAAAAGTGTATTTTTTCTCGAGCAGATGGGAAAATCCTCCAGAAAACTGGTGTGTTGCTGTCAAGTCATAGATAAGGCAGTCTCCCGGCTTAAAATTATAATCGTTAATAAAGTCAGCTTCTATTAGGGCAGCCTTGAGCTGGCGATATTTGGCAATAGTGTACCCGGACAGCATCTTGACCCGACTGTCTAAAATCATTTACTCTCCCAACTATTGTACTCTTTTTAAGCCCCTCCCACATTCAACAGGATGGGAAATGCAATAGGTTTAGATAAAATCCTATGTAACTCTCTTGTACGTATCACCCACATTCATCAGACAAAAAAATACAATTGGTGAAGATAAAATACAGTTATACATTTTTAGTGTTTATTATTACACACACACACACTCATAAAAAATATGCATATATTCGAATATACAGAGTCTTTAAAATAAACTAGAGGGTATTAACATTGGCTAAAATAAACGCCTAGATACCTTATTTTCTTTTTCTAAATTTTGGGGATAGTCGTCAGCCAATATCCTTTTAAAATTCGGATCGTCCTCCCATCGCTGTGCATATTGGGAAGGAGAATTGCTACTACTACTGCTGCTGCTGACACAAGTTCGTATAAACGATATATCCCTCAAATCCCTATTCTTAGAATTCGCTTGTTCTACATCATGACTCACTTCACCAAGGTTCATAAAAATATCATCATCGCTGTCTGATATTGTTTCCACTACTATACACTTAGATGTGGAAGGGCCCTGTAACTTCGAAGTGACCTTGGAGGGAGAAGCATTAGTTTTCATAGGACGTGCTCCATTACTTTTCACATAGGGGGTTGACCTTCTTAATTTTCTCCTTTCGACCCTGCTCCTCCTACTAGGGGTTATCGTAGGCGTATCCCACACGCGCCAAGGACCCCCAACTGCACTAGCAACCGCAACAGCCCCAGATAACTCTGCATTTTCAAGCAGGTACATGTCAGGAGTTTTCTTTATGGACGACGCTAAGATACTTGGGGATAAGGGCGTTGAATCCAACTCTTCAGTCACTGGAGTGGATGTTTGACGTTCGCACAAGGCCGGCTCATCAGAAAACAGGGGGTTCAGAGTCAGGTCTGGTACAGTCTCATCCTTTGATTGCTGTCGTCGTCGTCGTTGTTGTTGTTGTTGTTGGACAGGGCTACATGCTCTCGCAGCCAGTGACGAAGTCAGGTTTAAGGAGGAATATGACCTCTCAAACAGTAAAGACTCCGAGGGCGTGTTTAGGGGATTTAAGTCTGTCTGTGTAGATTTCGTAGCATAGATTGGGTGAGAGGCACCCTCCTTAGCAGTAATAGTACTAGTAGTAGTAGTAGCAACAGCTGCATCAACAGATGGCAAGTTTGAAGTTGAAGGCGAGCTTAAGTTCTGGGCAGCAGCTGGAGTAGTAGCAGAAAGAGGGAGTTTAGAAGACCCCGAAAGGAAAGCCGTTATAGTTTCTGGGGTCAGGTTCGCTGCTGATATAATGGCCGGACCCATGATGACATATATATTCCCAGCAGATGTGAACTGGGCACCTCCCTTAATAATTTCTGAAAATATGAGAAGAAAAGGAGACATGAGTTTCTATAGCAATAACCTCATACTTATATATATATATATATATATATATATATATATATATATATATATATATATATATATATATATATATATATATAATGTTAAAGTAATCAAAACTATATATAAAAAAAAAAAATATCAATATATATGTATATATTACATTAGTCACTATGCTCACCATTGAAATTCTCCATTTCTTCAGCCGCAAGCAGTAGAATGTCGAGATGAGTAGCGAGTGTAGTCGAATGTTTGTATTTTGCCCCCTCACGCGAGGGTATTTATACCCAACCAAATATTAACCCCGCCCATTACATGACGTCACACCTAATAAGCCGCGTGACGTCACCATGGAAGTTTTGTTTATGCCGATAGGTTGAAAAGTCGCATTTAAGTAGGATTAAGGGATAAATAAAAATATAAATGTTCATGCACATATGTTTTTAATATTCAATAGATATTAACAATTTCAAGAAATAATTGGTCTGATTACATATAGAATATTTTGTCTGCAAATGGGACAGTTTTGCAGAGATAATAGGCACAAAGTACATGCTACCATATGATTACAAGGTAGCAACACAACATCAATCTTATTTACCATGCAAATTTTACATATCATATCTTCTACATGAGAAAAAGCCGTTGTTGCGGCCCCCATTTCAGCTGTAACATCCGTTCTAGGCATTATCTGATGCTCCAGATATGCAGGTATACTAATATTTTCAAGTATTCCCATATCTTCAACAGTATTTGCGGGATTGGCTGTAGTTGCCCCATCCTTCAAATTTTCCCTTGTTTTTTCTTCAATATGTCGTATAGCCAGTTCTAGACAGGTGGATTCGGAAATGAGTGGCAACAAATCCTTGGTGACATTGAGATGTTCTCGAAGAATAGCTCTTGCACAGCCCGAGGGTATACCCTGGAAACGTATCAGTTTTTGGAATGTAGGTATACCCTCTAACAATCTACTTATTAAACTTTCATCAATGGTCTTCTTAGGATGCTGTGGAGGTTCCTTAACGTCCTCAATAAAATCACGTCCTTTCTTTATGTTGACAAAGGTGCAATCAGGATAACTCCGGGCGTGCAATATCCAGGGTATGTCTGTCTCCTCGAAATTATTAATCCCATTTCCACAGAAGAAGCAAAGGACATGATCGCTGATGCCTGAAAAAAAAATATGAAATACGGCATAAAGTAGGGTGTATATTCAGGGTGTTCAAAAACTAAAGTATATTCCCCTGTATATCTACAATTCTAAAATCCCATTTTTAGCTGAATAAATTGCAGAGCTTATTATTATTTAAAATATTTCACATACCGAGGGAAAAGAAACCTGCTTCTGCTAGTTGACTGGATGTTTGTTTCACACACCCAGGCCAGGTTAGGTCAAAGGTTTCCAATCTGCTCTTGTATGAAGAAAAACGAGGATAGGTAGGGGCTCTATATTTAATCACCCCCATCAACTGTAAATTACACTCATCCTTCGACAGAGCTGCTAAACAAAAAATAAAAGCATATATTATTATTGACGGGATATCCAATAGTCTAATATGTTAGATGAGAAAATATTACACATGTAAACCTTTTTTTTTTTTGCTAGTAATATTACATGGATTGAAAAAGCAATTACCTTTAGCTTCGCGTAAATTGGGCGAGAAAAAGAATATTCCATATTGAAACGCAATTTCGCTAATTTCTAAGGGAACGTTTTCCCACTTGGTACCAATAATGAAAGGACAGAATGGCGACGCACTCTGGTGTCTGCTGCGAGGAGTGTCCCCCTCAACCCATGCTCCTATCACATAATTACAAAAGGCACAACAACAGTAATCACTCGCTCTCAGATAATAGAACCCATCCCGCACTAGAGCCAGGGGAGCCAGCCACGTGACAGTCCAGTTAATAAAAGTATCTAATCGAATTCGCTCGCATTTTAGGCTATCCTTGCTGTAGAACTTCTTAGCACGTGCTTGTTCCATTGTGTATATTCTACCTCCCAGGCTGTATTGAGGATATATTTATATACCCCTTCTCTCTCGGGTGCTGAATATCGCCATATATGCATCTTTTAAATGTATTTGACCAGACCGTCCCTAACCTGACCTAAGGTGTTAATTCTTTTTTAATACATATAGACTAAAACGGCTCTAGATGCACATGTAAAATAGCAACTCGGCTAGCTTAAGAATTTTTGGCATTTAACAAACTTATTATTTTATGTAGACACCAATTGCACTAGACTTTTCTTGCATATCTCCCTTGCATTTCAACAAAACCCATATAGCATACAGTAGCGCATAGAGGAGGATAAGTCATGTTAGGACGTGATCTTATGCGGTGTGAGTGACCTGCGAGTGGGCGGGGCGGGCAAAGGTAATTAAGGGGTAGTGGGGTCAGGCTGGAGGGATTATATTGGGGTGCTACATCGTAAGAGACCTGAACAGAGTTGCCTGTAATATGTAATAACAAATATGTTTTTATATTTATTGTAGGTTCCTCTTATGAAATAAGTAGCATATTTGCAAAGGTAAAACCCCTAAGCACTACAGAGCGTGAATTTTAAAGTAATAATACTGGCTGGTTTTTGAGAAAAAAAATAGGTAATACTTTCTTTGAGATAACTGTATTCGCACTTAGGGATAGATATAAGCTCATACGACACAGGATTTGGGGATTATTAGCTAGCCTGCCAGTGTTACTTGTCCATCCGTTCGCCGCAGCTGCTGAAAACATGAATTCACAAGTTGTAACTCGTGAAGGATATTTGACTGACGATGTGTATTGCAATAAGGAATCCTGTCTTGTGTATGGGGTGAACTGCATATCCTGCGACTCCTACGGTATATCTAAGGACTTAGCAGAAAAATATACATACGCCAGTGTGTACGAATCTCGTGAACGTTTATATGATCTTAAGAGATGCGTACCTAAAGATAGACCTAAACCAGGAACAATTAACATCTCTAATTCTCGTGGACAAAATCTACCTTATATCATAGCCGCCGCCACCCAATATGGAATAGGAGAACATTTAGAGAAGAATGAAATTGCTCAGGATATTTGCAAAAAATCTAAAGATAGAGCAATGGTAGCCGGTTTAAGAAAAGATACTTCAGATAATCGTTTGTCGTACTTTAAAGAGGCGATGAGTGCCGTGATAGATTTCATCCAGAAAAACCCTGAAATTTCGAGAGTAGTACTGCCCCGAGGTATTGGGCGCACATGTGCTCGGAGAGATGAAGTATGGGAAATATCCTATCTTCCAGTCATTGAAGAAATGCATAGGAAATTAAAACCCTTTAGTATTGATGTTATATTATTGAGTAATGAAGACAATAAGAAAAAAACTACTGCTCGGTAACCTACCTGATGCGCAGTAAGACTGGGGCGCACACTCCTCTAGAGGTATAAATGGATGGCGTTTTACCGATGTGTGGACATTAACCCCTGCTTGCAGCAGCTATGGATATTCCTACCCGCATTGGCGACTTTGCTTCTTTAGCTATTTATAATAACAAGGACTGTTTGCTGTACGATTTAGATGCCACAAGTGTGCAGATGAACCCCCAGGTACAAACATTATGGGAGCGATTCCCGTATGGTAGATTACATAGACAGAATATGCCGTACAAAAATCGTGCTGTGGTGGAAGATCGCGGTGTACCTGGAAGTATACACATCGGATGGGCTCCTGAATTCAACAACAGGATGGATGATGAACCGTATGAGAGTTATACAGTGCTTCCCCACCTTATTGGATTAATAACCCAATTTGGAGGTGGACCATCGACTTCCGCATCTTATGAAAGGCCCCCGTATGATGTTCGAAGATTGGATGAGCATTTTTATGCTGGAGTGGAAAACGATACAGAATATCAGAGATGGCGCTGGTTCGAGAAAGCCCTGAAGACAACACTTCGTCATATTTACGAAAGGAATACACGACCAGCCCGTATTATTATTCCATATGGGTTTGGGTTATCGAATTATATATCACATTACGAACGTGGCTTATGGAACTCGAAATATTTACCAGTGTTACGCAATATGGTAAAAACTCTACATAAACGCGGAATTGCCTTCTTGATGATCAAGCCATACACGTGGGAAGAAGATGCAGCTCTTCCCCCTACCCACGGTATCTTTGGGAATCAGTTTAAACATGCCGGAATGCCGAATGCAGTTATCCACAAAGATTCTACAGACAATGCTGATATGCCCGAAGATGCCCACCAGCAATGTTGAAGCTGGCGATAGAGTTAATGACGATGTTGGATTTGCTAAAGATGTAACTTACGTAGGAGAAGATGTGTGAATAGAATGTTTGTATATATGGATGTATTAATATATATGTATATAATATATATATATATATATATATGCGTGTATTAATAAAAAACTAAAACGCATAACTGCATTTATCTAAACCTGTGACAGATCTACCAGCTGAGAGAAGAAGAAAATTAGAGAACCCATAATCTATATAAACGCCCCTGAGATGAGATTTAAATAAGCAATCCTATCGTGCAATCAAAGCTCTATGGCCATCATGCAGAAAACAAAAATGAAATAAATAAATTGCATATTCCCCTTTTATGCGCGTATTCCAAATATGTAAAGTTATGTATGATGTGAAATATTATTACAATAAAATAATATAAAATGATCTATATGTGTTTTTTTACCTGAGCAACTGTAATTTTTTTTTTAAATGATAAAATGCGCAATATACAATCCTTGATATAATTAAAAGAAGGACAAGCATGCCTGTGATAGGGTAGGATTGGCATAGGATAGGATAGGTGTGGTTATAGAATACGCCAGGATTGTAGGTTAGGACTAGATATATAAGAACTAGCTGGTCTTGGGCCAGTTAGGTGCAGTTTTGATTGGAGGATAGGATAGGTTCGGATTGGAGGATAGGACTAGATATATAAGAACTAGCTGGTCTTGGGCCAGTTTAGGTTAAGTTAGGTTCAGTTTCGATTGGAGGATAGGATAGGTTCTGATTGGAGGATAGGATGTGGTAATGCCAGACAGTTAAGTTAGGTTAGGATAGGATAGGTATAGTTTGGATTGTAGGATGGGATATGGCAGTGCTGGATGGTGTAGGATAGGTTAAGTTTCGATTGGAGGATAGAATGTGATAGCACTAGTCAGCTAGACTAGGTTAGGTTAGGATAGGATAGGATAGGTTAGGTTAGGATAGGTTAGGATAGGTTAGGTTGGGTTAGGATAGGTTAGGTTTGGTTAGGATAGGATAGTTTGTGATAGGATAGAATGTGATAGACTAGGTTAGGTTAGGATAGGTTAGGTTAGGTTAGGATAGGTTAGGTTAGGTTAGGATAGGTTAGGTTTGGATTGGAGGATAGAATGTGATAGCACTAGTCAGCTAGACTAGGTTAGGTTAGGATAGGTTAGGATAGGTTAGGTTAGGTTAGGATAGGTTAGGATAGGTTAGGT